GGCTGGCTGGCATGTGGTGCTGGAGGATCGAACCTTGGTCCCTGTGCTTTGCCAAGCTTGTTCCAAGTAGGTGCTTTAGACCACTGAGCCATCTCTCCAGCCCAGCACTTGCTTTCTTATGGCTGTGGTGCAGTCGGCTTCTCTAATGTGACTGTATTTGTAGCCACTTCCCAGTGCTAGCATCACTGCTTCAGCTCTACCTCAGATCATCGGGTTAGATTTTCATAAGGAGGGGGCAAATTGACCTATCACGTATGCAGTTGATGGTAGAGTTCCTGTTCCTGTGAGAGTCCAGTGCTGCTGACCTGCCTGGAGGGGCGCTCAGGAGGTAGTGTTGGTTGTGGGGAGCAGCTGTAAGTAGGGACGATGCCGCCGGCCTGCCACTTGCTTTTGCTGTGCTGTCCCCCGCACGTGGCCTGGGTGTGGGCCCACGCCCAAGGGGTTATTCCTAGGAAAGCATTCCAACAGAGGAAATGACAGCTCCATGCATTTGCCACCACAAGCTTCCAGAGGGGTGGGATGTGGAGGCGGAAGATGGTGATACTGATGATCCTCCCTGTGGAGGCTTTTTGTGTTTGTTTGGCGGAACCGGGGATTGAACTCAGGTCCTTGTGTTTGCCAGACAAGCGCTTACTCTACTGAGCCATCTCCCCGTCCCCTGTCATAGGGTTTTGTTTTGTCTTTAGACTCTGCAGTCCTGCTGGCCTTGATCTCGGAGCAGTCCTGGCCCAGCCTCCCAAGGGTGCACCACCACACTTGGTGTGTTAGTTTTTAACGGAACTGTTTAAAAAATAAAAATTTAAGAAATAGAAAAATCCTGTGGGATAAGGATATAAAGAATATTTTCTGTGCCTTGTACAGTGTTAAGCTGTAGTGTTATAAAAGTCAAAAAAATTTTTTAAAATTAAAAAGTGTATAAGGTTATAAGTTCAGTGTACTGAAGGAAGAAAGATCCATTTTATAAATTTGGTGTTGCAGTGCTCATTAAGCTATTAGTAATGTGGAGTCGGTCCCTAGACCTTCCCATTCACTCGGCGCTCCTCCTTGAGCCTCCCTGCCACTTGTCCTGCAGGTTGTGTTCGTAGCAGCCTGATTTTCACATAATGAGCTCACTGACTTTCTTGGACTGCATTTTTGTCTTTTAAGTGATACATAACTATGTAAGTTTTATGTGGACATGTCATGATTTATCCTGAGCATATACCTAGGAATGGACTTGCAGGTACTTCTAACCTTTTTTTTTTTTTTTTTTGAGATGAGGCCTTGCAGTTTAGGCTAGCCTTAGACTCACCCCATTCTTCCTGCCTTGGACTCCTAAGTGCTGGGATTACAGCTGTGTGTCACCACGCCTGGCCCACTAGTGCCATATTAGGAGGATTCCAAGAGAAAATGCTTGTCAGAGTGCTAAAATCGGATGTAGAATTGTGGATATACAACTTACTCAGTGCACAAAGTTTTGAAGTTGGTGATTTTCAATTTTCTAAACATTTTTCTGTATTTTCCATACTTTGTACAAAAAGCATATATTTTATGATCAGAGTAAATTTATGATCAGAGTAAAAAGCCTTTTATGGCATCATCATCATCATCCTAGGATTGAACTCAGTGCATTTGCAGTGAGCTTCATCCCTATCCCTTCTTAAATTTTAAGAGAGGGTCTCATTATTTGCTTGAAGTAGGCTCCAACTGGTGCTCCTCCTGACTCAGCTTCCCAGAGTGCTGGTATTACAGGCAGGCACTACAGCCCCAGCTATAAGGAGCATTTTAAAGTACAGCCATAGTTGGAGCTGCAATCCCAGCTCTTGGGGGGTTGAGCCAGGAGGATCCGTTTGTGGTCCAGGCCATCCTGGAGTTCAGGGCCATTCTGCACTGCATAGTAAGACCTTCTCAAGAACAAGAACAACAGCAGCAACAAAAAACAATGCACTATGGGGGCTGGTGAGATGGCTCAGTGGTCTAAGGCACCTGCTTAGAACAAGCTTAGCAAAGCACAGGGACCGCGGTTCAATCCCCCAGCACCACATGTCAGCCAGTCCCGCCCCCTGGTGGGCTGAGCTGGCCACCACACACACACACACACACAAATAAATAAATAAATTAAAAAACAAAACAAAACAAAACAATGCACTATGAAAGGTGTAGTTTTAAGTTTAAAATAGGCATTGTCCCTAATTGAAGTTTCAGACAGGAAGACATTTAAATAGAAAATTTGGTACAGATAAATCATTGACTGCCTCGTGGCTTTGCTCAGTAAATACCCTTGAGAAGCATAGTTGATGATTAGCCCACTTTCTGGCCTCGTCTGTCCCTCTCAGAAGCTCTCATTCACTCTATATTTTTTTCTGTTCTTTTTTTTTTTTTTTATAAATTTTATTTATTTGTGTGTGTGTGTGTGTGTGTGTGTGGCCAGCTCAGCCCACCAGGGGGCGGGGCTGGCTGGCATGTGGTGCTGGGGGATTGAACCGCGGTCCCTGTGCTTTGCTAAGCTTGTTCTAAGTAGGTGCTTTAGACCACTGAGCCATGTCACCAGCCCCTTTTTTCTGTTCTTAAGGCTATTACTGGATTAGTATATTCAAGACATAGTTCATAATAGCTGAATCTTGGAAGCTACCTGTATATCTAGCAACAGATGAATGGATAAGAAAGTGTAATTATAGGCCAGGGAGATGGTTCAGTGGAATAAGCGCTTCCCTGGCAAGCGCAAGGGCCTGAGTTCAATCCCTGGTTCCACCAAAAAAAAAAAAAAAAATAAAAATAATAATAATAAAAAGTGATTCTTTAAAAAAAAAGTGTAATTATATACAGTGACATA